CGCTTTTATGCAGTCTTGTGCTGTAAATAAAGCACTGATCTAATGGTAACATTTTCAATAACAAGAAAAAGAGAAACGATTTTTGTTTAAGCTTGTAAAAGGTCTTGTTCATGATATCAACGATTTTCATAAACAGCACAGTCTTGCCTTGCTCTTCAAGGGTTTTAATGGTGGAAGCACTGACTTTTGGTAAGCTGTTTATGACTCACTCCTTAGAGGCATGCCTCACAATAGACATTCATATTTTACAATAATGCATTTCATTGCCATATCTCAAAGTATTTTGACAGAATGAGTAAATGTTACATTGTCTTCATAACAGGAACAACAATAGTGGCACAGAAATTACTTGCAGTAAAATTCAATTAATAGAGAAAACTGGAAGTAGAATTCAGGCCCTGCATACCTCTCATCTTATCAGGTATCTGAGGGTTAAGACAAACTGCATTGGTCTTGTCTTTTCTGCAAATTTCAACCTTCACCTGGAGATGCTCGCCACATTTCCTACATATTCCACTCTTCTCTACTTCATGGGATATTGTGAGAACTCATGCTGCTGAGAATAAATCGAATATTGATATTAGCCACTAAATTATAATCCTGGGAGTGGTAACTATTGAAATCCCGTCTCAGTCCCATTCACACCACAATCCCAGCTTTTAGAAAGCACAATGAAGTTCTGAGGGAGTCTCCTGAATTTTTCTTCTCTGGTAATTTATATTTCTCATTTAGTCTACTTCAGTTGGGTATTTCAATATCCATCCACATGAATGCCACTTTATAAAAAAGTCTTCGAGTGATCCAGAAGTCATTTACACCTTTATGAAATAGCCACATTTTTCTATGAGGCAATTTTGTCAGACAAACAGAAAGCTACTGCACAATGAAAATCAGCCTCAGGTTTGAACCATCTACTATGCAACTGTTTACCTGATAGCAGAATTAGTCTGCTGAGTAAGCAGAATCCTCTCAAAAGGCAAATAATAACACGTAGAAGAATTTTTCACCATTTGTTTGAGAGAGGGCAAGTGCATGCATGAATGCGCACATGAGGATTCTTACTTTGAAGGAAAAAAAAGTGGAGAATAAAATCTATCTGGAATAGAGAGAAAAGTTTCAAGAGACTCTTCAAAGAGTCCCTCAACTAATCCCAAGGGACACTCAAGAAGTGGGAGATCATTCTGGGGGGAAAAAAAGGAGATCTTTAATTGAACTCTTCAAGCCCTGTGTATGTGCGTGCATGTTACATGCTTCTTAGCTCCATATTTATTTGCTCACTCCTTGATGGGCATTGCTGTATTGCACAATTTGAGTTCCCTACCAAAACTAACTTGAGACCCAAGAAAGTCAATGGAGAAAAAAACAGGAGAGACAGAAATTTGGTTGAAATACCTGCTGGTGTTGCCAGTCCTTCTTCACTGACTAGGCAGCCCACAAGAACTAGCTCTCTGTGTTGGAAGACTGCCTTTAGTAACACCCTCTAGAGCCAGCACGAGGAACCATGCCAGAGTTCATCCAGTGATAGAAAGTGTACCCTACTAAGGACTAGACAAGCTCAGGATGTTGGTACTGAAGTGCAGCAGGTATGCAGAATGCACAATATAAGATTCAGTGACAACAATAAATAAATTTAAAAAAAAAAAAAAAGGGCTTTCATGACCCTGATGCCCTTTTTTTTATTCTGGCTGACCTGTAATCTCATTATGGAATGAGAGAATAACACTGTTTGAAAGAGGTTGCAGCATAAAAATGTCTTTGAGTCACTTTGTGTTGCATTAAGTAAATTGTTTCTTTTGGTAGTTCTGTAAATAGAAGGTGATGGTGAAACCTGAAGAGCACTCTTTTTGCTACTAAGCAGTAGTATAGTGAATGATGTAGGAATGATTTTAAATTAAATTCCTTGATATTTCAGCAGTTCTGGATGCCTCAGTACCTCTTCAAAGATGCTTAATTTTAACAGCAAGTCTCTCAGTCTTTCCTGGAGTTACAGCACATAATGTGTGTAAGTTATGTATGTATGTATGTGTGTATATAGAGGTACATACTTACATATTAAAATGAAAGGGACCAGGAAATGGCATGCATTTGAGAAACCTAGAAAGAGGGATGTATGTAGGTTGCAACTGGGGAAAAAATAGTAATTAAGCAGAAAGCGGGTTGTGGAGGGAAGGAACTCTTACCTCAGGAGACAACCTGCCCTACTTTCTTTTCTCACATTTTGAAATGTATGAATCTTTTACTTGCTTTATCACTTTTCCTGATTCCCTGCAGGCCAGAGCTGACAGCTAAGCCTCTGTTTTATCTTAAACTGTTCAAAGCATGTCGGAAAATTACTTACCCTGCTGAGTCTGAAAGTGGCTGCATGATTGCAGGAACCCACCTACTGGTTACCCCCAGTCCAGGTGATCATTGTTGCTTAAGTGAAATCGTAACGATAGTCCCAGAACAGCTGGCAGATTGTTACAATATATGGTCTTTTACTGCTTCCAGTTGAAGACCAGAAACTGAGTTGGCTCTTTTTTATTTTCTCTAGAAGTAATTATTTATGTCTTGGGCCACTCTGATATCAGTGCATAAAGATAGTATTAGTTTTTCACCCTGTGTTATTAACAGCTGTTTTGTATATGGACAAGGTCAAGCATTTGGACTGTCTGTAACTGTCTTGACTGTTTATTTTGTGGGCGCTCTCTCTACTGCCTTTGAATACGGCCTTTACAAATCCTTTCTATTTTTATTCCATTGCACTTCTAAGAATTAGCTTTAAAATACACTGTTGTCACTACACTTCAGCATGATAAAATGCAGGGATAAGGTGTGTGTGGCCACATTCGTGTCTCTAAAAATAGGATTCTACTGGAATTGCTACAGTAATTTCATTTTAGTAGGCTTTAACTTGTGCTGAAAATTGGTATACCTCAAACAGTTCTCTATGATGAAGCAAAATAAAGCAGGATAGGAATTGCAGACTGTTTATGCTCAGCCTGTATCATGAAATTATATGCTCATGTACTGCTTTTCATCTTCAAAGTTTTACCATCTGTATTACCACCTCTGAGAAGTGACGTGAGTAACTGATATATGAGAGTCCTAGGTTGAAATTCTTCTGGCTGATGACACCTGAACCTGCATTTTGGAGTTCTCAGGAGGAAGCCGCAACACCATTCTTCACTGGTGTTAGTTCTTGTGAGATAACTGCTTCTTTTTGGGTATCTGAGGAGAAAGAAAACACTAATGCTAGGCATAGCTCCCTTTATTGTCACAGGGTATCTTTTGATTTTGCACTGGTGAGAATGTTTGCAGGGAAGTTGTTGTTGATGTCCTGTTAACTAATAACAACCAGGTATGAAGGTGAAAGTTAGAGGACTTGTGAATCTGTGAAGGTCTGGAGAATCCACCCAGAATGAATCTTTGAATTCTCCCCACCATACTGAGATCACAGGAGATGGAGACGTATACTGCCATTAGTTACACACATCAGAAACTTCCTTCTTATTTTTGTAGGGTGAAACATTTCCCGAAGGCTCTCCAAAATCAGCAGGGAGTTTCCGGATGTCATTTTGGATCTTTGCTTACCATACTGGCTGAATTCAAGCCTTCAACCCTAGTCCTGTTAGTCAGTAAGCATCCTCTACAACAATGTCAGTGGTTTTGTTTTTTTTTTAAATTTGTGTTGTTGGCACAGCTGGACTCATTATGTAGTGCAAACAAGGGCAGTGGTCTCCTCTTCGATTTACACTAGCAGATCATGCAACAGTAGAGATGTACTAGCTTGAAATGTATACCTTGAATTAAGAAATAAATGTCAGTTATATGGTCTTTATGAACTATTTTAGGTGCATAGGAATTTAACATGAATTGTGTTACTCGCTGTAATGTCTTTCTTTGCTCTTATTATACCCAATTTTGGCCAATTTATGTGCCAGCTGATTTCTGAAATTTTTGAATTTATGAGTCCCGTGAATCCTTATCATGATGCTGTGGTAGTAACTAGAGTAAATATGGCGAATGAGACTGAAAAGATACTGGGTAAACAGGCCTTATTGCTTCCTTTCTAAACAAACACTGCATTCCATTGCAGAATTTACCATCTGAAGACATGTTTCAGACATCAGAGATGCGGTGAGATGTCTTAGATAGGGAGGTTGTGTGCAAGCCACTGTCGAGTTATTTAGCTTAGGTAACTAACTTTATCACATATTGTAAAAACATTAAAAAGAACCAGAAGGGCAATTGGGTCATTTATGTGTCCTTCATTAAAGCACTGTTCATAGAAGTAATTCCAAAGTAATTCATTGTCTCTCCTTATAACACTGCAGTGGGGCTTGGTTTGTGCCAAGGGCCATCATTTGAAAGCACTCAGCACCTTCTGAGAGATCTGCTGCAGGATAGTATCAACAATTTCGATGATTTCTCAAAAAATACAGTATGGTCGCTAATAGTATAGATATGGGAAGAGAGGCAGATTTTCCAAGTGTAAACGGCACAATATGAAAGCTTGGGGTACCCAGGCACACATTTTGATTTAGTCACAGATTTTGTCAGTGCCTTGCTTCTCAACTATAAAAAAAAGGGACAATAATATCCCGACTTTACGAAGGCATAGGAAAATAATTTCGGTTTTCTGGGCATCTCGCAGTTGAACATTTGTGTCAAGATACTGCTTTCCTTATTAGATGGACAGATCTGCCAATGGGCTGATGAAAGAACTGATACTGAATGAAAGTGATAAGCTACAGATTATCGTAAGAGAAATTAACTTCAGCAGATGCAAAGTTCTGTATTATGCAATATTGCTTGCCCAGACATGGGCTAGCTGCTATAATTGTTTCACTGCAGTTGGTTTGTGGGAAGGGGTATCAGTGACATGGCTAGTGAGGCAGAATTTTTAAAGACAGTGCGCTTTTTTTTTTTTGCCTTTTTTTTTTAATTTTGCTGAGTAGAAATGTAAAATAAAAATCTGTATTTTAAAATATTAATTTATTTTTCTTTCTTTTTTACAGCTTGTGGCCAATGCAATCCTTTTTGTCAGTGTAAATTTGTATGGGGTCTTTGTGAGGATTTTGACAGAAAGGGCTCAGAGGAAGGCATTCCTTCAGGCCAGGAACTGCATTGAGGACAGGCTGAGGCTGGAGGATGAAAATGAAAAACAGGTCAGTTTCTAAGCCTTATTTCTATTTCTCTGTTTCTTCTGAGATGACTGTAGTTATGTGAACCACAGGTCAGGACATTGTCGCTGAGTGCATGAGAGGGCATGTGTGTGTTTCCATTGCAAAGGAAGGGTGCTGCCTCCCGCCACCTGCTTCAGCTCTTCCTCCCCAGTGCATGCACACTCTTTGCTCTTCATCTGCAGCTCACACAGAAGGTGCAGGCTGACCCCGCGGCTACTGTCAGCTCCAGCACCAGAGGGGATGTATTTTAGGGCTGAGGCGAAGCTAACATACTGTTGCAATCTCAGATCCCGGGGTTTTTTCTGCATGGATGTTTTTGGGTTAGATATGCTGTAAACACTTCTGTTCTGGCTGTGTGTGCTATAACCTGTTTGCATTCATGACACCTATAAACAAAAGTCTACGTTTTGGGGAGAAGGAACTGCACTGATATACATGAATAACTGTGATAACAATCTATTCCTTTTCTCAAAAGCCACCTTAGTAGTTTGATGGTTTATTTCACACAATTTTATCAATCAGTCTTCCAAACAGATTTGGAAACAATGAGAAAAACCACTATATTGTGGAGCTTGCTGTTGTTACTCACAGGTCTGAATCTTAAACCTACTAAGATCTGTTAATCTGTAAGGTTTGGACTAGATTTTTCTTTCTGTCTAGGTGATAGTAGAGGGCCATGCTGGAATACATGGATATAACTCAATTGACCTCTGTGGAATGATGGCAACTTATGCCAATAAAGGACTTAAGTGGTATTCAAACCTTGCTATACAAGGTATCGGTGTACCTCGCACACTTTTACTTCCCTTCACTTGCAGTTTCTCTAGCAAGTCTATTCCTATGTGTGAAATAACACAGGTCCTTAAGTACTTTCTGTTACGAATTGACTGAATGCATTTTTATGACCTGAACATACTCTGCAATAAGTAGACGTCTTCTTTGAACAACTGCATATCTTTGCTGGCTTTGTAAAAATGGTATTAGGATCAAAGCCTTTAGGTTTGATTCTGGTCTTTTGTAATCCAAAGCTGCAGATTTTCAAAGGCATAAATGTGTCATAAGTGAATTTCCATGGGGTTTAGGCAACCCTGCCATTTGTGCCTTTGAAAACCTGCTTCTGGGATCCAACATGAAAATAATACTGATTTTTGTGTTTCTCTAGTTAGCACATTAGCAATCTGTCTTATTTTATATTTTATCCATGCATATAAAAACACAAGAAAGCAAAAACATTACACATACGTACCATTATTGTTGATAGTATACCTAGAGAGTCCTGCAAATGTTTTTCCAATGCAGTATACAGGTCAGTGAAGAGAATACACTTTTCTCTTACATTTGTGAAATTAACTTTATGCAACACAGTGTAAAACTCAATACAGTGGTGAAATATGATAATTAGCTGTCAAAAGTACCACCCAAATACTTTCTGTGGCTGCTCTCACACTACATTAGAATACCTCTAAAACCAGGGTGAGAATTAAGACATGAGTACAGGCTACAAAATTATTCTGCAGTTGCTGTGGCGTAACGTAGCACAAGTTTCCAGCTGGCAACACTCAAGAGTGTTTGAGAGGAAAAGAGACATTGCTGACCCAGTTCAATTTTTGTGATCATTCCTGTATTTTTGTTCTCTGAAGTACCAACATTACATGTTAAAAAAGACTGAATTTTTTCATTAGACTTTCTTGTCTCATTCAAATGCTCTGACCTAAATACCGTAGCCCTTTTACATTGAGAATTGTAATCCAAAATGGTAAAACCTTTCCCTGGTATTTCTGTGCAAGTCTCTAACAGGAAAGGAAAGAACATGCTCTTGCCTTTTGAACATACACAGCCTTCTGGAGTTAAAAGTGTTGACTGTGTGAGACAGATACCACAGCTGAAACTGTAAGTGAGATTTCTTCCTCTGTGTCCTACTTACAGTGATTCTCCTCATATGGAATGCATTTGTAGTAATAGTTCCACGTGATAATTTTGATAAATCTATTTTTATGAGCAAGAGCAAAGATCTCGTGTTGTAGCATTTTTGGAGTCATCATGCAGGAGTTTGCAAGTAGGCTTTGAAAGTGTTGCTGGGGAGAAGGGGAGCAGACGGACTCTGTTTATTTTAAAATTCAGTTTAATGTTCACACTGTTATCTGTTCACTGTGGTCACAACAAATAACAGGCCTCGATGGTAGCATCATCCATTTGTTACGTTGCTGAATGTTAGACTACAATTCCAGAGTAACACCAGAAGCAAAGGCCAAGAACCAAATAAGTTTTAGACCATGAGCGAATAATTATAATCATTCACTCAGGATAAGCTGCTTCTCTCACTGTTTATAAATCTCAGCAGCAAGACCATCCTCTGCAGAGCAAGCAGTTAAGAATAAATATTGTGAGGTGGGTCCTGTTCCCTGGAACTGCGCTTGTTCTGTTCCTGCTCAGTCACAGCACCTGAGCACTTCCCCTTTACTCCCACTGCACCATCCCTCTGTGTCCACTTCATTAATTCTAGATCATCCTTTGTCGATACAGCAAGCAAGGCATTGTCACCCTGCTCCCTGGAGGGCTCCCAGCGTTAGATGTCCCTACTGATACTGAGAGCAGCCTCCAGGCAGTGCTTCACCCCTTCCCAAGTGAGCAAGCAAGGAGCAAGCAGGGATGGGGAATGGGGGATACGTTCAGTGTAGAGAAAGAAGTAATCTGCTGCTGACTGAGGCTGCTTGCCATCTGATTCAGAGGAAATCAGTAAGGAAGTTGTGGCTCACCATGTATTAATTCCCAGTGTGGCGGCTCCTGAAGTGGTGCCGTGCTCCAAGGAAGTGCTAGCATTGTAATTCTGAGGCCATCTTAATTTGAAGTGCAACTGGGCCACTGTAGACTCCCATTTTCCATTTTTCTAGTCTCTCTTTCAGCATGTGTATAGTTTTATCCTCCCCACAGATTTGTGATGGTGCATTTAACTCTAATTATGCACTCTGTGAAACAGAACTTCCTTTTATTTGTCTTAGACTTGTCTGATGACTTGATTGGGTGCTCTCTAGGTCTTGTTTTGTGATAAATAATGAGTAATCATTCTACAGTAACCTTTTCCATGCCACTCACAACACTGTAGACTTCTCTCATAACCCTGCTCATCTCTCTTTCCAATCTGAAGAATTGTAGCCTGTTTAGTCTCCTGATGTGTGGAAGCTATTTCCTACCCCAGTCTTGCCAACTTTGTAACAGATCTTACTCATGTTTCCCCCCCAACAATAAGAATATTTTTATGCATATTCATGCATTGGATTTGGAGATGAAGCATATGATTTCCATCAGTGAAATGCACTTGCTGCAGCACAGGGTGAAAAGTGCCTGTTGTTTTCATATGAGGAAGGATGGAAAAATGTTTGACTTCATGCAAACCTCCAAAGCCCACAAAAACAGCTTAGATATCTTCACTGTTTTTTAATTGCATAATTACATGCAAATATGTTTGCAGAATAAAGACCATCTTTCAAGCAACTTGTTTAGATCTTTCCTTCCCTCCTAAATGTTACTTTTGTACTTGCTCACAATTAGAACATGATGGTGGGAAAACAACTGGAGAATAGCCAAGTCTCCAGAATGGGGGATTGGCTATCTTGAAAACTATTCGTGAATTCACATTTAGTCTGTCAGACCACTGGGACTGGAGAAATTTATTTAGTGGTGGCATCCATCTTTCATGAAATAGTTGTGTACTCCACTACAATGCATGAAATTTAAGTTTGTTACAGGCTTTAACATAAGAAGCTGAAGGAAGCACTAAAAACTACAAGGAGTTAGGAAGCACTGGGCTGAGACAGCCAGCTCTGTGGCTAGCTTCAGGGCCAGAAGCATGGCACTCCAGCTAGTCTAATTAGTTTTGCTGAGAGGTAGGGTGGTTCTCTTTGCTAGTACGACACTGTGCTACTGCAGTAATGCTGGTTCTGGGAGATAGACCAGCACCTCGGTGTTGCTTTGCAGTGCTTCCGTACATGTTCACCAGATCATTTGAAGCTAGCTAAATTCTCTTTATGCAATGCTGAATTGTGCATACAAACGTCTGTGTGTGTATGTGTATGCATTCCAAGTGTCTGCTGCATTTTAGGGCAATATCCTTAACATTGTGTATAGTAACTGGAACATCACTGAGTCAGAGATTTGATTAATAACTTTTCACGGAAAATGAAATGGTTTCAGCAAAAGATACCATGAGTCTCAGTGCAGAATACTTTGAAGTGCTGCTTAGGGTGTTTTGGGTTCAAATTCCCTGCTGGGTTCAGATCCCCCTTCAAAACAATTTAATCTAGATATTATACGTTTTGGATATGTGTACTACCTCCTGTACCTTTGGGTAAAAGGATGACCCGTAGCAACCCTCCAGTGGTTTTGTCCGTTATGTTTAATTTCAAGCATTTATGAAAAAAGGAAAAAAATACATTATGTTTGAATAAAGCAGTCCATGTTGGACTTTCATTTTGGTAATGGATAACAGGTTGCTGGGGTTTTTTTCTTCCAGTTCAGCAACCAAACTGAAGAATTAGTTATTTGCACAGCCTCAGGCAGAAGTAATTTCTAGGGTGCCTGACAGCATGCTTATCAATGCATAATCAGGTTCTTCTCATGTTTCCCATATGTTTTCTTCTCAGAATCTTGCTTTTTTTTTCATTGCAGTGCAGAAGAAAATATGAAATTTATCATTAAAACACAGGCCCTCTTTCCATAATCATTCATACTGGCTCTGTGCATCAGCAAATCATCCTGCAGCAAAAATTTCATCTGGATCACGTGTGGGCACAAAAACATGTTCTTGTCAAATTATCTAGTGTGCAACAGGGAGGTGATCCTGATTTTACACAAATCGCAGGGCGAGAGATGATACCTGATCCTCTGCAAAAGCTAGCCAGTGCAATCTTTAAAAAACGTAGGTGGACTAACTAATTTTAGCAGACCCGGTGAGCCTGTACCACATTAGCGCTGTGTTCTATGTT